ACAGGCTAAGGGTAACGAATCACAGGTAAGAACAACCAGGGAATCACACGAGGTAACGAGGTGGGCGTGGCACACATCGGGAGCGGACGGAGCGGGGCGTGACACTTCCTAGGTAGAAATGTATTTTGTACTGAACGTTTGTCACTTGCTTCCTGTTTCCTGTACTTTCTCTCTGCACCTTCAAGTTCTTAAAGATGACTCCAACCATTATAGTGCTGCTGTTTTTCGTGTGTCTTTTCACAAACATTTCAGGTGAGTTTCCACCTTTATTGCTATAAAAAATTACTTTCATGAAAGTCTCTTTGTGATTAGACTATATCCAGTTACAAAACAAGTGATGGGGTACTTTACAAGTGGCGTACATGGGGCAAAATTAGGCCATGGGGTAAAAACAGGAAGGGGAGGCAAACTCGTATATTTTTCTCATTCTGTACTAGTAACAAAAAGTTTCCATATTCTAAACTGACAGAAAACATTTTGTTTAAAGAGAAGTGTCCAATTCATTTGGAAATTGTCAGATTGACCCAAGAAAATAATCTTATTCAAGACTCTTGCTGCTGAAATATTTTACATCTGAAATGGCTCTGAGCCTTAAACCATGAAAATCAAATTGCAACAGGGTTTGGCCTTTATTTACTTTAAATGCTTTCTGTACCAAAGTGTTAAAATAAACACTATACCTACAATAACTCAGTGGGCATCACAACTGCCTTGCAGATCCTGCCTTTGTTCTGAAAGTGTAGGTTCACATGCTTCCCTCCTGCCACGTGGCTTCCGCCATTACAGACATGCTGCCAGGCGTAAAGTCATCTACAGAGTTTGGTGCCATATATATATATATGTGTGTGTGTGTGTGTGAAGTCTTAATATTCTTGCAATAATTTGAGATATATATTGATTTGGGTTTATGGATTGAAGGTATAAGAGGTTTTATGTTGCTGTTGGAGATTATTTTGTCGTTATTACAGTGGTATATCAGATGTTCGTGCCTTTAAGAGTGTTGTATAATGTGAGCGAAGAGGTCATTAATAAGTAATTATTTCATCTGTGGAGGATGGAGCTGCATGAGAGAGAGAGAGAATTTACCATAAACAATATAGTTGATGAATTGTTCTAAGTAAATAAACTGCTAATTCGTGTCCCATCAGGGATACTGGTGCTGTACCCCTGAGTAACTGGAGTTTCGGGTTGCATTGGTTTTCTGAGCAGTAATATTGTAAGTGCCCACATGTAAGGCAGAATGATGTCAGAAAATTGAATACAAAGTGTGCTGAATATGTTCTGTCGATATATGCTGCTTTGTTGTATTCTGCTAATGTAGCATAACCATAGATACAGAAACATACATAGATTTGTCGAATGATTGTTAATTCGTGTCGCACTACGGCTGCTTCGAGAGGTTTTGCACACAAGCATTTCACTCACTTGTATGGTGCCTGTGTACTGGTGACAAGTGACATGACAATAAAAAGTGATTTGATTTGATACATTTCTATAGTGGTTTTCCACTTGATGTCACCGTATTGCCAGTCAAACAAACTCACAGCTGTTCCAAAAGCAGCACCTTACAAAGCAGAAAAAGCAGCAGCAACTTATTTGTTTTTCGAGTAGATTTTTGTTAAATATGCAAGAGGCAGTGGGATGTAATAATCGGACAGGTAATAAACCTAGGTTAATATTTTATAGATTTCCGGCATGCTTCATAACTATTTGTAAAACAATTTTGTCGTCATAATCAGAAAAATTCAAAACCGCCTGTCATATTTCTGTTTTCTGCATGTGATTGTGAATTTTAGAATATTGTGACAAATATCGATACTGTGAAAATCTCTGAAAATATTGTGATATAATTTCCAGCCCAAATTCCCTTAAACTATTAAGCAGCAAGGCAGTCAAAGAAAAAACCTATAGCAACAATTAAAACATACGGTCAGCATTTTATAGTGTTTTATAGCATGATTTATTTCTTAAAATTAGATTTGTTTGCAGTCCATTCAGTTTTTCACATTTTTTCATTTTCTAAGTCTAAATCTTAAGGCCAATTTCATGTTCTGAATCTGAATCTTAAGGGCAATTTCAAGAGCATTTTAAGCATAAATGCCGTATTCATGTAAAGAAAAGATACCTTCGCGTACATAGGTCTACATCGTTTTTTATTCTGTGGAAAACTAAAGATTGATCTGCTGGCCAGATTTTATAATGAATTATAAACATATCGTGGGCCGCACGAATAAAATCTACTAGATTTTATTATCATAACTAGATTACCGGTCAAAATCTATAATGCAAAATCAGTTGCTCATTATTAATCATATCCTCTGAGTTCACCCAGTCACAGAATTAACTCTCTTCTTCAGGTGTGTTCATTTTCTTCATTTATCACCATAAGCTCGGCCGTGTTCGGATTAAGGTACAGTCAGACGTACCTTAAGTTATTTTTCTTACTTTGGATGGTAAGATCTTTTGTGCAACTGTTAACAGAACTGTAGTAACTTATTAAGGGCAGTTGGATACGATCACATCACTCACTACCGTCTCCCCAGTTTAACTCAGACGACCCGGACTACCCCCATCACCGGAAATAATCCTTGTTCTCGCGCGGGCCCTCTAGCCACCTAGTGGATAACATAAAAATTGCAATATTTCCATGATAACAGCACAAACTTCAAGGGACTTCAAGAGACCAAGACAAGGGGAAAAACTTAAGTGAACATTTTAAGGCAACCTTAAGTAGAAGACTTATGGGTGTTTTGTTCAACCAATCTTATCTTAAGTAAACCTTAAGTCGGACTTCATGGAAAATCTTAATTTAAGGGGTTCTGTGCAGCCGGCCCCAGGTCTTTGAATTCATTGGTCCTCCATGACACACTGACTTCTGAACAGAACCACACTGATATGGAACGTAGGATAAATGATTAGGTGTAAGGTTTGAAATTGGGAAAAGAAAGACCTCCATCTGATTTACTGTGCTAAATAGTGGACAACTTAATATGAGAACATTTCCCATTCCAAATATATTTGAAGAAACTAGGGATAAGAATCCAAATTCAGGGGCTGCATCCTTCTAAGGCTGCATTTGAAGACCGAATGCATCACAGCGGCGTGACAAGGCTGTCACATTTCATAAGCTCCTTCAAATGTGGTCTAGAAATACGTCCTACTCTTGCCAAGTTGTGAAGGATCCACCTGATGGATCCTTTGCAGCCCAACATATCCCAAGAATCACTGCGCAGAAGTAAAGTGTGCTTGTCCCGGGTAGGCGATAGGAGCGGCACTTCGTGACTGAAGGGCAGGAACAGCTGGTGATACAAATAGGAATTTATCCGCAGGCCAGACTGTCTCATTTGACAGTGTTTTCTGTTAGAAGGATGCAACCCTGGATTCGAACACAGACTGTCACTGCCAGCTCGTGTAAGAACGCAGCATAAAAAAAGGGAGACCAACAACAAGGTAATAATTTAGGAAAACTTCATTTATTACAAACACAAGGGTGAAACCCATCTAGAGGTAAACGTTTATCTATGAGAAATGCAGGGATAAAAATGTAGGGGTGCGTGAATAATTGGGGAGAGGAGCGGAGCACGTCCAAAATATCCGCAGGTGCTTTTATACCCAAACCGGCACCAGGTGAGGGAAATTAACGTCCCCCCCCCCTACAACATGCAGTCACTGCATGGCCACTACACTGACAGCAGAAGGAGCAGGGGGGGCGGGGGGTCATAACACAGCTAACATTTGTCCAGAAGCCATCATTATAGAGGAGAAGCCTAAAGATAAACTCTCAGGGTTTCTCAGTGTTGGTAGAAGTACTTGAATAAATGCAGTGAACTCGTTCAACTTCAGTCTCTCTGCCTGTCAGAGAGGGAAACCAGACTGGCAGTGACCACCTGGCAAAACCCACAGAATCGTCTCTTTTCCCGCAGCTAATTATTAGATTGTTGTGTCTGCTTTGGGCCTGCAAATCAACAATTTGTTGCGCAGCAGAGTCCAAACATCGGGCATGACTGTTTGGGGTTTTTGTCTTTCTGTTCTCTCTGTTCACCGGTTAAGGACTCAATTTTAGAGCACAAAGTTGTCTTGTGAGAAGACAATTTATTTCTCAGTGCTGCAAACTCTGACTTTATAGCAGCTGTCCTCCAACTTGGATTTCTTCTTTTGTGGAGATGAAGATGGAGTTACCCAGCATTGTCATTCAGAGGGATAATTTGACAGAAATCAAACAACTAATTCCGACAAAACTAGGATAAATTTAGAAATATATGCCAGGAGCGATGTGTCATGTAATCTCATTTCACCTATTAGCTTAATTTTTTTTTTCTATCATTGTAGCACCTGACACACCGAAGACGATCTATGGTTTTATCAACGAATCTGTGATTTTACCCTCCGGATCCCCTGTTCTCAACCCTACCCAGATCCAGTGGCACCATAACAATAGATTTATTATATTATATGTTCATCCAAATGAAGTTAGTAACCACAACAAAAATAAGTTTTGGCTTAATAAAACAGATGGATCCCTTCGGATCTCCAACCTACATACAGAAGATTCAGGAAATTACAAAGTTAAAATAATAATTGAAAAATCTCAAAAACCTAAAGAATTAAACCTCATTGTGGTCGGTAAGTGAGACTTTTTTTACAGGTTCAATAATGCCAGATGTTTCTTTCCTTCAAATTTAACAGGGGGGTGTTTCACAAAGCAGGATTTCTTGCTTAGCTGGATAACTTGTTGGATTTAAGGTGGTCTGGGCTAAATTAACTTCATGTTCCTTCACATATGTTTAACCCAGACTACCTTAAATCTGACAAGCTATCCAGCTAAGCAAGAAATCCTGCTTTGTGAAACACCTCCCAATCATAAGCTTCTATTTGTTATGAAGAATTAGTAAAATGCTGCCTTTAAAAGCTTAATTTTTGTACTGATATTTTTGACTATTGCACAGCTAGTGGCACGTTTATATATCATTAGGCATCGTAATCTTCTGTTTACCTCATTTCTTAATTGTACGGACAGTCCTTTAGATAATCCATTCTTCGTCTCTAAACAGGAAGGATTAAAAAGCCAGAGCTGAAGGTGCTGAACGCGCGGCGCAGGACCGGATTCTGCTTAGTGAAGGTGTCGTGCATTACCTTCGACGACCACTCGGTGGAGGCAGAGTGCAACATCACCTCTGACACCTCCAGCTGTACAGAGACCAGGAACAGCAGCTCTCCTGGCCTCTCTATCGACATCTCAGCTCAGGCAAAATTAATTTCCTGCAATAGCAGCAACATTGTCACCTCTTTCAGCAGGAGCATCGTTATCAATGAACACTGTGCGATTGATCTTAAAGGTAATAGGCGGCAATTACAGCCTTAATCTGTACCCACTGAGAGATGCATACAGTGAATGTCAGTATTCATTACTTCCTGTGTAGTATTTAATCTCAAATCGCAGCATGTCATTAATAATACTTTTTGTTGTTTTTTTTTAGGTCTTACCAATGGAACACAATGCACAACCTGCATTTTCTTAGTCTACTTGCTAATTGTTTTATTAGCTCTATTTTTTTAAGAAATAGATTCAGTGACGTGCTGGTATCCGGCCCCTTCTGCTTCAGGAGTCCGACAGGTTGACCAAGATCAGGCCTCCTGCTTCAGCCAGATCAGGGGTCAGCAACCTGCAGCTTGTGAGCCACATTACGGTATTGCAAGAAGAATTAGGCTTTGACCACGGGACTGCGGCTCTTCTCAGAATGATAGACACATTCACATTTTCATGTCTTAACATAACTATGATAATACTTTTGTAAAGATTAATTATTTATTTATGGGTTAATATTATTTTTCATTTAGATATTTCTTTAGCTGTAAGTCCATCGCGCGCTTCTCTGATGGTATGCTTTCCGGAGTTTTCTTTATTACCTGAGATTGGATGTACGCTTCAACATTTATTGGGATTCCTAATTCTTCTTGCAATACCGTAATTGCAAGTATTGTGTACTAAAACAAAAGCATCACTATAGTATAGGGTAAAATATCTTTAGAGCAAAATCGAATAAACAGACAGTGGGCATAAGGAAATTGAAAAGTTTTTGATAACCATTATTTCTTCAAAAACAGTTTCAGTTTGATTTACTTATGTGCACCATGTCTGGATTGTCGCGGTACAGCATCCAGCAGTAGTCGGCCATCCACACCATTATAATTCCAAAGTATAATTTGTATATCTTCTTAAGATCTACAGTGATTGGGCGACGTTGTGAATGAACCACACACATAACAGAAACTGTCTGGATGACTAATACAATTTTTAGGCATGATAACAACTGAAAGCCAACACAGTTGATGCTGTCTGTCACCGCCGCCTTCGATTTCCAGGACAATGACCCAGAATTCAAACTCGAGAGTTACATTTGGTATTTCTTTTGCGACAATTCGAGAAAATAAAAAATTTGTCGAGAAGCTTACGTCAGCAAAACGAAACCTGAGGCACAACTACCTATGTTTCCCGCCAAAGTTGTTTACACAAGACATGCACCTGCACACTAGGTCAAATTAATCATACTCAAATCACAACTAGACAAGTATCAATAAAACATGAATCAATATCTAGTCACCTCGAGAACGGTGATGCTGTCTATAACATAAAAAAACACAGGCAACTCTTGTAATACACTTAGGCAGACTACATGTACATAATATCATACTACATATAGCTTCATCACAAAAACTTGATGATAGAGAAAAACTAAACAGATTTGAAATCAGCATGAAAAATACTAGAAAACCCACATAAAATTACCTCTGATGAAAATGACCTGTTAACCTGTGTTGTTAATTGTCTAGTCTTTGAAGAAGCATTCAAGTAAGAATTTCATTGTGCTCTATTGTACTTTGTACATATAACAATACAAACTTTGAATCTTGAATCTTGGCCTCACCTTCGTGTGAACCATCTGTTTTCAGGTACTGTGAGGGAGTAACTGGGTGACTGGGTGGTGCCAAGACTTCCAACGGGCCAGGTGGAACACACCCAGGTGGAAAGGCCCATTCCAGATCCTTCTTGTCACCACTAAAGCAGTCAAGGTCGCCGAAAGGCCCAGCTGGATCCATGCTAACCACTGCCGTTAGGCTCCAGAGCCTGCTGCTGCTGACAGTGAGGGACAGGGTGCAAGACCCGCCTCCAGAGACAATGGTGACCAGGGCAACTGTGACCAGGACGAGAAGTAGATGTGGACAAAGATGTTCTTCACAAACCAGGCCCAGAAGCAGATACAAACCAAGATAAGAAGCAGTCGACATCACGATGGAGCCCCTGGTGCCAGAAGAAGAATGCCCCCGATGCCTTGCCAAGCATCGCTACCTTTGGGAATGACTCAGGGGACTGAAGAGACTGATGTGCATAGTATTGATTGCAAGAATATTAGTGTTCATGCCTGTTTTTATGCTTGTGTGAAATATATCTCCCAGGTCCCCCATCATCAAACAATTCTCATGAATTGAGATGGGCAGTATTTCAGTTAAATGTATTTAATTTAATTAATTTAAGTGTTTTGTAATTTGTATTTTGCTGTATGGAAAAAACAGATGTGATTTGCAACAAAATACTTTTAGAGATTGTATTTTATGGTTTTTATTTATTTTTCTATCAAACCATCCCCCACCCCGTCCCTGCATGTATCAAAACCAGACCCCCCTGTCCTCGTGTTCAACAACACAACAACAATACAGAGTACTATTAAACATCTTAATTATTAAATCACTCGCTTGACACTGCCACCTGGTGGTGTTGGGGTGAGAACATTCCTGGGGATTACCATGGATGTCTGTAGTATTACTGTTTTCCCCATTTCCGTGCAGCCTTCTACAAAGCACACAATTACAGAAAATTTATATTATCATATTTATATTAACACAAAAGCATATCAGTCCCATTTACAGAAAGACTTTGCAATTTCAAAAACTAATGAGAGTGACAAATTAAGTAACCTATACAATTCTCTTTTAACACTTCAAAAGATTTATTTACACCAATGGCCATGTAGTGACATACAGAAATGGGGAAAAAAATCTTTATGTAGTTACATTCAAATTGATTGCCTGATAATTACACATTACTGAAACTGAAACACATTGTGTTGGTAACAGTCTACCTGTCTCCATTTCAAAATGTCTTATTCGGAGCCCTGTTCCTATTTCAAAAGAATTCATATTCACCATGAGATTTTCCCTTTAAATCTGTTTAATGTATCACTTGTCCCTGAAAAGCTCGGTACCTCCGAGAGGAACTCAGGGATATCTTCAAGTGCAATTCAGTAGCCACACAACTTCCTAGTGTTAATGCATCTACACAAAACAAATCAACTGAAGCAGCAGGCAACGAGAGCACTTAAAGGTTGTTGGTTCGAATCCTGTAAAATTGCCAGGTGTGAATACAAAGTTCTTGCTGGCAAAAGGATCAGAAAAGGAACTAAATGTAAATACAGAGCTGACTGTCAGTGGAAAGATCTTTTCTAAAGATGCTGGATTACTGCAGCTGGTGGGGCGCCGTGGCCAAATTTCACAGTTTCGTAAATCGTTGAAATTCCAGAATGGGCTGCCTGTTTCAGACAAAATGAAAGCACTATTTAGATAGTTTGTGCTGAATTACACAAGAGCGGCAAGGTGCAGTGATGTATCCGGTCAGAATTCAATGTACCTAGATAACAAAATTGTGCAAACCTAAGAAAAAAATGAAGAATGTCTTTATAACAATACTTCATCTTAAATGTGCTCCTTTCCTTCTTATCATTTCCTTTTCTGTCTTTTTGTTTTAGTTTAATGTATGACAGATCCATCAGTCATGATATTTGTGCATATTGCTTTTCTTTTTTTTACTTACCGATGCACTTTTCAAGAAGTCAGAACAGGTGGATACATCTCCAGGTGGTTCTGCCTGTCTGTCCTGGAAACCAAGGGACCATATTAAGCTACACCAATGTCACAAAAGAGCAACATTAGATTGTAAATAACAAAGAAATAAATAAAACCATCCAAGTTCATATTTCTCAATTCAAATATCAAATCTCCTTAAAATTCTACAATTTCTGTTTAAACTCCGTGATGAGTGTGTGATCACTGGCACCATAAAGGGCGGGAAAGTTAGGACAATTGCAAGGGACCCTAAGTGACAGGGCCCCAAAATAATTTGGAGCATAATTACATTGTTCTGGGTTGGGGGCCCAATATGACATACTTTCATGGGGCCAAAAATTTTTAACGGCACCCCTGTCTGTGATGATCTATAGTAAATCAGCTTGAGTTCAATAAAATGTGCATATACTGTACATACACCATCCCACTGCAAAAATAATAATAATAATAAGCCTTTTTTCATGCATTTTTTCTTTTCAATGTAGGATGCAACTGGACTTCAAACTATTCCTCTGTTAATGTGAGAATCTTCATGCAGCAAACTTATTTCCTGCCACATAGGTTCAGCGGCACAGAAACTACTGCTGGCTTTGTTTTGCGGTTTCCTACTGCTGAAACAGTTGCACACAACAGGCAACTCAAATAGTTCAAAATAATATGTAAATACTAGGAGCCTGGATTATGAGATAAACAAAAGAAAAATATATATATGGAGCATAGTAGTTGTGTAGGAGCAACAGGAAAGCAGTATTTAAGAACAGCACTAAAAATAGCTGCTGAGCTGTAAGCTCCTGCTTATCTCACGTTTATTTTGTGCTTTTAATTTCCACTAATGTATTCATGTTTTTTCTAACACCTGTCCTTATCAGCACCTGTCTTTACGTAAGATGCATGCAGATGTCTGGATATTTGTGTATTTTGTTTTTCACTTACAGACGTGCTTCGCAGAACATCATAGCAGGTGGATATATCTCTAGATGGTGAAGCCTGTCTAGTGCTAATGTCCTGGAAACAAAGGCCACACATTATGTTAGACCAGAGTTATAAAAGAGCAACATTAAAATTGCATGGAAATGTATGCATGGTTACTTTTCTTCATACATCAAACGCACACTCACACACAGTACAGTGGTACCTCATTAGAACTCGAATTTCTTAAAAGTCGAATCAACCAGTTCGAAAAAAAATTACCTAGAGCTCGATCTGAATCTCAGAAGTCAAACCGTGAATGCCGACCTAAGATAACTTGTACGCGCAGGGAAATGAGTCAGGTCTCTCAGCGGAAACAAAGGGTGACGCTTCAGTCTCAGCCTTGCATTCGCTGTGACAGCACCGTGCATGTTTACACTAACTGAATACATATATTTGGACAGTAAAAATACATTTAGACAATAATACACAGTAACAGTAATTATTATTATATAATAAAATACATTTAAAAATAAAGATTTCTTGTTCATTATTTTAATATTAATAATAAACCATTAATACGTTTAATTATAATAATATTGTCGTGCCAAGCGGGGACGGAACAGAGACAAAGGCGCAGACGTCAGGGTATCGGGGAATATGGGGTTTAATTACAGGTAAGGCAGGCAAAACGCAGACGGACAATACGATGACCGGACTGGGGAAACAAACTGAAACGCGGACTAAATACAGAGGACTAATGACAACAGCCAGAAACAGCTGATCACATGGGGATTCCACATGGGGTTAACGAGGGGGCGTGGTACACGGAAGGAGTGGACGATCGGGGCAGGACACATTGTTTGGATACATTTATTTTCTTACTTTACAAATTACCGTTTTGATAAATGTGCTTAATACAGTATATGCTCTTCTTCTTTTATCCGGTTCATTTTGTTTTTAAATGCTTTAAAAAAAAAAAAAAACATATTTAGGTGTAATTTTTTGGGGCCGGGAACCAATTAATTGGTTTAATTTCCATTATTTCTTATGGGGAAAATTCGATCACAACTCGAACTTTTTAGGATTCGATCCGGAGTTCTGAACGGATTAAATTCAAGTTCTGAGGTATCACTGTACTATGAAAAAGTCAGTAACACTTTATTGACGGGGCACAAATAATATAGTTATACAATTATTAATGTATTTATTAATCACAAACGAAGTGTTAGTTACATACTGATCTCATGTTAATACATCATTAATGATTCATGATGCATGTTTTATCTCAAGCAGTTACTATATTTGTTACTGTATCTTCACCTTACCTTACCTAAATATGTGTGCCTCATCAAGTAAAGTGTTACCAAAAAGCCTTAGGCAGTTGAAAACTGTTTTAACGATTTTTGTGTTGATGTATAACTGTGATATTATATCTGTCAAAGTGTTATATTGCGCCATCTCTAAACCACTTCTAAAATCACCACAGTATTTACAGTAATCACACACCGTATTTGGCTAATCGATACTCACTAAGTTAATTAAGTGAGCTGGTGGTGAAATGTAACTAATACACACAAGGTTTGGGAGCCGGAGCGGTGTTCTTCTAGGCATCCAAAGATATCAGTAACTTTTTGGAGAACAAAAGAATTTTTTTACTTTTTTTGTGTCATTGTTTAATTGCATATATTCGACTGTTAAATTGTTTTTTTTCTAAGCAAATATACACTTACTGCCCAGAAAAATAGCTTAAAACATTATCTTTGCCTAGGACTTTTGCACATAGTCACAGGGCACACACACACACACATATATATAAATATATGTATGTATACAGTAAGTGTTCAAATAATTGCCCCAATTTGATTTTCTTACAAATTGTCAGTATCATTGTCGTTCTCAGTTCTCTGAATACTGAATGCTAAAGTCCAGAAGTACATTATTTACTGCCAAAGCAGTCACTCTCCTCACCCGTGTCCTCCTCTCTCTGACTTCAGCGTACACCGGGATTTCTCTTGTCACTGCAAGGGGAAATGAAAGGATGAATAATCACACAGTCACTGCTCTATGAATCATAGCTCTATGTGATACATAACAGACGTGTTCAGCTAGACCCACCCATATGTTACTGTGATTTCATTTAGCCTGCAGGTCCTGCCCTGTTCCCATTTCCCCCTCATACCTTTCCTCTTGGCTCTGACGTGGAAGATGCGTCCTATGATCGCCAATACCAGCAGAAACAGAGCTCCAGTGCCAGCAAGTGCATATATTCTGGTATCCAGGGAAACTATCATAACATGATAACAACATAAAAAGCAACTGTTAATTACATGCAATAAATACAGCCACATAAAAAAAGTATGACACCACTTGAAAAATGTAGTCTTTATTTGAACAAATACTTAGCCTTCATTTGAGAAGTTTTGACTGATTGAAATAATTCATTCAACAAAATTGAACAGAAATGTAACTATTCTCTGGAAACATGTACTGACTTTTACCTGACAGAGAAAAGCTGTAAAGTACCTCCTTACATTTAGTACCTGGTATTGCCCCCTTTAGCAGATATAACCTCTTTCTTATAACTATCAGTATTTTACATTGACCTGGAGAAATTGTTGCCCATTCCTCCATGTAGGAGACCTTCAACTGTGTGATGTTGGAGGGGTTTCATCAAGTCCTCTCCACAACATTTCAGTTGGATTCATTTACCTTGGTCATTCGAAAACCCCACATTTCATAGTTTTGGGCCATTCCTTAGTATATTTGCTTTTATGTTTGGGGTCATTATTATGTCTAAAGATCCACTTCTGGCCCAGTTTGCACTTGACAGATTGCCTCTGATTCTCCTCAAGCACTCTCAGGTATGATGTTGAATTCATTGTAGGCATGATGGCAAGTTGGTCGGGATCTGAGGCAGCAAAATGGCTCCAAACCAAAACACTCCAAGGTTCTGTTTCTCAAATTTTGTTTCTTTTTTCCACCAAATATGACATCTAGAATTCTGCCCAAACAACCCCACCTTTGACTCACCTGCCCAGAGCACACTGTTCCAGAAGTATTGTCCCTCATGCTGGTGTTTATAGCTATGACCAAAAGTTTTGAGAATGACATAAGTATTGGTTTTCACAAAGTTTGCTGTTTCAGTGTTTGTAGATCTTCTCGTCAGATGTTTCTATCGTATACTGAAGCATAATTACAAGCATTTTATTGACAATTACATTAAGTTTATGCAGAGTCAATATTTGCAGTGTTGGTCCTTCTTCTTCTAGACCTTGCAATTCACCCTGACATGCTGTCAATCAAATTCTGACTGCAATCAATTTGTAATTGCAAACTTCAGTCTTGAGAAACCTCTGCTCTTTTTTAGAGCAGAGGTTTCTTCCTGGCAGACCTCCCGTGTAGGTTAAATTTGTCTCTTTCTTATGGTTGACTATTTTCACATGAAATGTGGCAAGACCTGTCTGTACATACTTTGATGATACCCTTTGGGTCTTTGAGACTTACTGATGCATCTTGCACCCAGCTTTAGGGCTGAACATGGTGAGATGGCCTGGCCAGGATGGATTGCCAGTGGTCTGAAACTATCTCCATTTTGTAGCTTATTTCATGAATGGTGGAACTGATTATTTAAAAAAAATCATTAGCAAAATTTGGAGAAATCTTTTGTACATTATATGGTCATCTGATTTTAATTTAGGTTTACTGTAGTGATAAATGTAGGGGTGTACTAACTTTTTTTCACACAAGAAATTCAGTTTTTTGTTTGTTCATTTTAATTATATAAATGACTACTAAATATAAATTTGGATCCAGACTTTTCCAATTTAATCATATTTTTCTGTCAGTATTGTTGAAATGAAGATCTCATATTTGTCTGTCCAAATAATTTTGAAGACAATTTTTTCTTGGAATGTTCTTACTTTTTCATAGGACTGTATGCTTTTTAAATACAAACCTCCAAAATATGATTTGCCATATGTAACATTCTAGTCATAAATAAATGTTTCCTTATGTCCATGTTCAATAAGGAAACTATCAGCCATTAGTGAGTCCTGCTGTAGAGGCATGTGCCTGGGAGTCAAGACTGATGCAGGGACTCATAAAGAGCCGTGACTCTTCCCCTCACCGTACCGTGTGTCTGACAGGAGGAGACCCTCAGACTCGCGGTCTGGGAGCTGACAGGGTTGGAGGCCGTGCAGGAATAGAGCTCCTCTCCAGCCGTGGGAGTCACCACCAGGGTCTCCTTCCCCTCCGTATCAGGGATCTTCTTATGGTCCTTAGACCAGGAGAGCTCCACCACGCTGCCTTTCACCGTGCAGCTCAGAGTCACGTTACAGGTGCTGTTGTCTGGGCTGTAGCTCACCTGCGGGTCCATCTCCACGGACACGATTCTGTCTGTTCACACCACCAACAGAGACATGAACCGTTTCTTCAAACCGCAATAGCTAATATACCAGCCCTATTTTCACTGTTCATAGATATATTAATATGCAGTATATTCAGCTAGCAAACCTATCCCTGCTCATAGAAGCTCACAGGACAGTTAGATGTGGGATTATGTGACATTTCCTTACCATAAACATTAAGTTGTATCACATGTCTCTTCTGTGGCCATGGCGGTGGGAGGGATTCAAAGGTATATTCTCCACTGTCATTTTTTATCAGAGGGTTGATGGTTAGAGATCCGTCTCCCTCACTCAGGGTGAGTCTCCCTTCATAGGCTTGGTTATAAATAGTTATACTTCCGTTAAACCTTTGCATGATAATAATGTCACTCTTCACCCACTGCAGATTTGTTACCCGGATCGAGTCATTTGTCCCTGACAGAACAGCTGATTCCCCAACAGCACCATTCACGACTCGCCAACACTGTCCAGTGGGCAACTTCAGGAACACTTCAGAAAAAAAAAGTTAATTGTGACATTATATAAAGAGCAGAAATGGGTGCTATACATATACATAAATTAGGGATGCACCGATCGATCGGCCAGTGATCGGAATGGGCCAATTTTCAGCCTGATCGGCTTGATCAGTGATACATATTTCTGATTACGAACCAATCTTGCTCATGCGCAATAAATCATATGCACAGTCGCACGCACTTTCAGACACGCAAAAATGTCTGTAATTTGGAAATTCTTCAGCGTGAGCCAAGCAGACGCAAAATTCGCTATCTGCAGCAAGTGTAAAGACCAAGTACACTTTGGGGGAACCAATACAAAGACATTTAACTAGTGCTGTCAAACAATAAAATTTTTAAATCTGATTAATCGCAGGGTTGCTGTGGATTAATTTAGAATAATCACGATTAATTATCATTCATTTTTAATCTATATTAATCGCATTTCATTTTGCATGAGCAAACAGACTCAAGAAATAATGGAATATATGTGCACTTAACATGTTTATTGAACATCTTGAATACAAGTCGGATGCATTCCATCTGCCACAGAAGTGCAATACCATGGACCCATATCAAGAAGCAAGAAGTAGTGCTTAAACAGGATAAAACTACAACTTTCCCTTCTGTTGATAAAGGGCGCAGCCATCTTGGATTCTGAACTCGGGATCCTCTGTTCTGTCCGAGATATTTCTTGGATCTCCGAGAATCCAAGTTCTTCAGGACTCCAGAATCCGACTCGGAATACGAGTTCCGAGGGCAAATGAAACGCACCAAATTTGCCCAAAATGGGTTGACAGAGACATTTCAGGGATTTTGAGTCATTCTGCGCTGCAGATGGGTTAATTGCGTTAAAAATTTTAATCAGATTAATCATGATGATGGATTAATCCGCGTTAACCCGTTACTTTTGACAGCCCTACATTTAACACAAAAAATTTAATTAGACATTTAAAAACACATCACCCCAGTGAACACGCTCAGTTTGAAGAAGCTAGCAAAGCAAAAGCTGCTAGCAAAGCATATTTGAAGCCATCTACGAGCCAACAGTCTGCTGTCTTTCGTTGATATAAGCAGTGAAAAGAGCAAAGAAATTACGAGGAAAATTATGGAATTCATGGCACTGAATGACCAGCCGTTTTCTGTAGTTCAGGATGGAGGCTTCAGAAATCTGATTAATTACATCAGCCCAAAATATAGAATACCGATTCTCCAATTTTCGGAGTCAAGCTACCGGAGTTGTTTAAGCTAGTATCATGTCAAACACGTTTACTTGCTGTACCAATTATTATTTTAAAGAATATATTAATGTTTGGTTGCAGTTAGGGTTTTATTTTTTTTAGTTTAATCTAATTGAATTTATAAAGTTTAATAAGAGTTTGTTATGAAAATAAAGTTTTGAGGTGAAGAAAATGTGATTTTTGTATGTATTTGCTGTTCTCAGAGCAAAAATGGATATTGGAAAAATCGGTATCGGCCAATCACACATACCAAAAAATCGGTAATTGGGATAGGCCAAGAAAATTGCAATCGATGCATCCCTAACATAAATATTAATAAACAGCAAAATTCAAAGCAGACAACCCAAAATATGTCTTACAAAATAGATCAAAAAACCTTAAGTGAGCTTTTTGCTAACTCATAAACAGCCTGAAGTAAATGGAAAGTTATGCAAGAAAAGATCTGAGTCATTCACACTGTACCTGTAATAGTATAAACGTAAGCTAGACCCAAAATATCACTTCATAATTTTCCACAAGAGCCATAAACACCATTATGAACAACATAAATATCACCTCAGCTTGGTCATACATTTATGTAAACATTTCTACACTGGTCAGAGTGAAAAGAGGTGAATTGGAAAAGGTGGCAGACTTACCCACTGGTAACGTCCATATCAAGAGAGAGCGACGAAGGAAACAGCGAACAAGCAAGGTGGACATTTTATGCACAACACAAAGGCTGTTTCCTTATAAGTACTAAACATTTACTTCCCCTACCACCATGATCTCAATTTCTGTGCTTGGTATCGCATTTGCTGACAGCGAGGACAAGTCTTTTGATGCATATGGACAGGATGTGGTGCTGACATTTCTCCCACGTGGTTCGTCTTGAATGCCGTACAAAAATAATACAGCAGAACATGCAAATGACAACATAAATGGATTTGAATTACATGCAATTAATCCAAGTGTCTATTTTATTATTTCTAATATTGACATTTATTTATATATCAACATGACATGCAAATAAATCTCATCTTTCATCAAACACATTTCAGCAATTGCTTATATGCATACACACTAGAATGTTAAATTGTTTCGAAATCAAAACCCATTTTAAATAAAAATATAAAAAAGAAACTGAAACTGGAATTGATGCCTTGACAGAGATACCGTGGCTTTTTAAATGATCATTCTTTAATCCTTGTAAAATGACACATCATTCCTTACCATCATATACACAGATTATGCCTCGATGGATACAGACTTGCACCTAGACTAGGGATGGGCAATCTTATTCGCAAAGAGGGCCGGTGTGTGTGCAGGTTTTTGGGATAACCAGTAGGTCAGCTGTTGAAACCCAGGTGTGAGGACTCTTCAGACAATCAGTCCTCTAATTAGTGACCTAATTAGGGAGTTGCAGCAAAAACCTGCATATACACCGGCCCTTTGCGGATAAGATTGCCCACCCCTGGCCTACAGTGTATCTCACCCTGACCCTGATCTCAGAGACTGTTTGCTTCTTCAAGGCTAAATCTCACAAGGAGAAATATCCAGTGAACAATGACATTACAGACTTTATGGGCAACTATGTGCAAGAATAGTTTTCCATTTCGTGTCTGCAGCCTCTCACAATTGGGAGGTAATTTCCTAAACACTGAAAATACTGAGGTATTTCCAAGCTACCAGAAAACAGAACCCACCCCCCCCCCCATCAGCGTTTACTGACCGCTGTGTTAAACGCGCTTCCTCTTCCTCTTTGAGATGTACACCATGGGTACTTGATCCAATACGCTGTGTTACAGCACTAACAGCCTACTGTCAATCACCAGGAAAACAGCAGGGCAGCCATGGAATCACACGCACTGGCACACAGCTAAGTGTAGAGCGTGTTCTGTACGGTAACTCACATGTCACGTGTGTAAAGAACAAAAATACATTTACATTTACGCCATTGGGCAGACGCCCTTAGCCAGAGCGACTTACATAAGTGCTCAGAAGAATCATCAATGAATACATTCTGATACTGGTTCAATATAATCCATTGAATACTATCACTCTATAAAAACTCTGTTGGCAGGTAATATGTTTTTTAGTAATAATCCTGGAAGTGCTAATTCAAGTACTTCTGAAAGAGTCATTTAAAGACACCCAATGACTCAGCTGTTCAGACATCTAGAGGAAGTTCATTCCACCACACAGGCGCCAAGGCAGAGAAGAGTCTGAATGCATGTCTTCTTTGCGCCTTGAGAGATGGTGAGGCCAGTCCAGGGTGTGATGGACTGTGAGTGACACAGAGGAGGAGAAAGTCAGCAGGTCCCTTCACCGGCATCCAGTGACAAGCATGTTCCTGTTAACTGTCCTGAGCGGCTAATGCACACAATCCCATGGGTATTTCTGTAGCTCTCCTGTGCTCATGAACGAGAGAGAGAGAGAGAGAGAGAGAGAGAGAGAGAGAGGGAGAGAGAGAGAGAGAGAGAGAGCGAGCAAGTGATGGGAGGAAAACGACAGAGTTTGAAGTCTATTTAAAGCATNGAGAGAGAGAGAGAGAGAGAGCGAGCAAGTGATGGGAGGAAAACGACAGAGTTTGAAGTCTATTTAAAGCATAAAATGACTCATTTCTATACGCTGAGGTTATTGCTCTCCTTTTCAGTACGAATGCATTGAACCTTGCTTTATATCAATAACAATATGTAAACACACATTAAATTTACTAGATATATGAACAGATCTGGTATTTGACCATGTGCCACCTTATCAATCAGGGGGAGTCCCCCAGTCTGCCGCTGCTGATGACGTCATCCTGTCCGTAAGACACAGAAATCTCTGAAATGATGCAGAGGAGGGTGAGATTTGAAAAAGCTCCTGTTAGCCACATATGCATTGCAACTCCAAATAAAGGCAACGATGATGCAGTGTAATTTTATTAATACGACGTTGCACATTACCACTTCCTGTGTACTTACATTGCACTGTGGTCTTGTCATGTCTTCCGCTGAGGGACTTTGCAGAAGTTTTTATGCTCACCAAGTGTCAAGGGATCTTACAGAGATTTGATTCGAAAACCCATAACCTGAGATTGACAGGGCAAAAGGCATTACAGCTGTGTGTGGTCACTGAGCGGGGGGGGGGCAGACGGCTCCAGCGTGACTGGCCACAGAGCACTTATGGATGAGGCTGACGCGGCAGTCCTAGGGTGTGGCAAGACCGTCTCGCTAACAACTCCCAAGAACGAGCTTGGGGTGCAATGAATCATGGGATTGGTCTTGTTTGGCGAGGATGCAGCCGATGTACCTTGTGTCTTTGATATTTGGGGTGGAGCACGAACGACATCTGGGGATTTTTACTGTCCTCTGTACTTCAGGTCTTGAGTATTGGAAGTGGTGTTCAGCAATGGAAGATGACGTCCCCGATTTAAGTGGAAAGACCACCCCGCCCTCATCACACAAATGTCGGCCAGGCGCAAAACATTCACCCAAAAAGTGAGACAGACTGCATTAGTGCACAGAGAAAATTTATTTAAAAAAAAAAAAAAAAAAAAAAAATTCCAAAATTTTAGTCCTAAAAATATATAAAAAGGAACACTCACAGAACAAGCTACAAATCTTTACAACCAGCTGCTTAAAAAAAATAAAATCACTGTAAGACTTCTGTAATAGAAAATAAGCAGAAATAAAAAAAAAAGCCAAATTCTATATGCATGCATTAAAACCATTAGCGAAAAAGATTATTCGTAGTTTGTTACTCATCTCCATCTACGATATTCATACACAAACAGTTTAGGCTCGTTTCATTGGTTTTGACATTACATGAACGAAAAATACATAAAGGACATCTATGGAACCAAACTCCCAGTCTCCAATCCTCCCCCACAGCATGACAACACAAAGCCATTTCATAGTGAATTACCTTCCAAGGACTAAAGGAAAAAAAACAACGGTAAAGGAAACCGACTAAGCGTCTATTGTTACAGCCATTGACTGTGGTTTGTAGTGGTTTGGCCTGTGAAGAGGCACATTGTGGGAGAAACCACAGCCAAGGGGGGAGAGTGTGGGAATGCTGCTTCATTTCACTAGTGTAACTGTGGCCACGCCAGGTCACAACACGTACTCCTGTATGTCAAAACAGCTTTACATTCAGAGTTAATTCATAGGAAGGCAGGCATGAGGAACGAACCCGTGTCACATGACTGAACATGTGACCAGGGCCAGAATGAGTCTGCCTCATGTGACCAGCTCTGGGCGAGTCAGACTCACATGTCCAGCGGCAAAACAGAGTGAGGGTATGGGGCAGGAACGGTTTATAAAAAACAAACAAAAAAAAAAAGCATCAGCAAAAGACACTCGTTTTAAAAATCACAGTTTTAAAAACATGAAAATGAGAATGGCGTCGGCCACTGTCCCATGATAAAGATCCATCAGCACGGTTTAGTGTCATTCTTATGTACATATTTTTTTTTTTTCTAAAAATCCCCACACACTCATTGGATAAAATGTAAAAAATAATAATAATACGAAGTTAGCTGAGAAGTTACACAAGTAGTCACCAAATCTAGTGTTTTACATGTTAGAAAGGCAGTGCTCCTCCGTAACGGGAGGCAACAGGCATAGTTGGGGGGGGGGGGGGGGGAATTCACAGGCGCAGACACACAGACGTGCGTCAGAAAGGACATTTAAGTACGACTCGAGCACAGGAGTCCATACGTCCATATAACAAAGACAGGCTTAGCTACGGGATACAAGCATATTACGGCTCTCGCGCGTGAGCACACGGTCACACCATCTTTAACGGGGGTTCATATGCAGCTTCCATCCACATACCAAAAGCACCCAAACCCCCTTTCCCCCACAAACGAAACATATCGCCGAAAAACTGACAGAAAGGCAGAGCTGTGGAACGAATGTGCCGTTTCTCCAGTGGGATCAACCCGGTTCAGATTCTGTGAGGCCCCTAGTGGACAGACAGGCTACTTTAACATTTAAGTCATTTGTGACGAGCAGACAAGGAAAGGCAAGGCTGAGACGACGACTCCCCCTCGATTGGTTATGCTGAATTTTAGTAAAAGACTGAACTCCGTTAACGGAAATCCAGCAACTGGAGCTGATTAGCTTTACGATCCTTTTGCTCTTTCAGGAACATCAACTTCCCCTTGGTTTTTCAGAAGAATCTTTCGCAGCCAGATTTTAATAATGCACGTGTCGTGCATCCATCACGCTGGCCAGTCAGTGATCTCCCCGTGTCTCCTCGTGCAAAACGACATGCCTACACAGACGTCTCCGACTGCAGGCGCATGACAAACTTGTGACTCTTGGGGTCGACGAACTCCTCTCCCAGCGACAGGAAGGGGAGGGGCGTCACCGTGACGACCAGAGCAAAGTCAAGCCGGCGTAGAGAGAAGGTGCATCCCTGGCGCAGGGCAGAGGTCACAGGCTCCTCGCTCACCAGCGTCCACTGGCGCCCCCTGCCATTCTCCCGCTGGTACTGCAATGTGGGACCTGGCGTCAGGTACCGCTCCAGAAAGGCCTGAGAAGAGGAAGAGAGGATGACGGAGGCAAACTTGCAAGTATTTGGTGGGGTTGCATCATAGTTATGAGAAGTTTAACGAAAGACACCCCCATCTTTGATAATCTACTGGTCCAAAACAGCTCCCTAAAACCCGGATGTGGGATGTACCAACTCACCTTAGGGGTCATGTTGTGTGTGATGCAGAACTGCAGGTGGGTGAGGATGCTCTCCATGCTGTGGTACGGCTGCTGGCGTGTGGTGCGCAGGTACTTCTGCATGGCGCGGGCCATGGGGGCGAAGATGGCCTGGGCCGCCTCGCGTGGGTCCATCACCTCCCGTGGGTTCTTGGGCGAAGAGGCCGAGGGGTTCTGCTCTTCGTCCTGCAGGCGCTTGATGTGGGTGAAGGCCTCCTCTACTGCCACCACCAGCCTGGGAGGTGTCATTGCAAGCAGCAGCCAGTCACCAAATTTTACAACATGTTCTCTTTGGAGAGATAGACCCAGCTGCAAACTTATTCCAAGGAATTAGTTCCATCTCAGTCTTTAGGTGCCTTAACTCAACAGAGCACACAGCAGAACCTCATGACCGATGTTAGCACGTTTATTACTGTACTATGCGTGATGCTTGCATGAGGACAGCCTCCTACCTCATTTCCTCATGCGCAACAACAGTAAAGCAGACTTTGATTTTGACCAGGCCCAGCAAGCCCCGTTTCCAGCTCACCTGGCCTTGCGCTTACGGACCCGGCGCTCCATCTCCGCCTCCTCGTAGTAGTACTCGTTGTGCGAGTTGTCCCGCCTGCGGGCGGCAGCGGCGATCATCGCCCGGGACTGTCCCGTCGAATTGTTGGTGCTGTTCTCTATAAAACACGCAGGCAGATTCTGTCAGCAGGGCCCACGAAGAACGCGGGAGACACAGGGGGGCGGCTGTTGGGATTCACCTTCGCCCAGAGAGTAGACTTTGAATCCCGACATTTTCTTGGAGAGGATGGACTTTGGCAGGTTGAGGAGAGCCGGGTTGTAGACGGGGAAGTCGCTGTAATAGTGCTCCAGGATCCACACTGCAGCTCTCTGTATACTGCGGCACACAGAGACTCACGTGACGACAAGCGACGGCTCCCATCGAAACACAGCAAAGCTCAACTGAAAGGGACCTCAGCCATCCGAGTGGGATTAATAACAGGAAAGCATAACACTACCCATAATGCTTTGCTGCCTTTCCTGAACATCCCAGTTCCACCTCATGATGATGATTTTATGCAGGTTCTAAAGTGGGCCAGAAAGATTTTTGCAGCACCTTCGTTTAATTACTAAATCAATCCGATTGGCAGTTTCAAACAGTGTAAAGCGAGCTTAAAACACTTTCGTTTTAAAACACAGACACTGGTCTCTGTTTTCTCCTCTGATCTACACTACCCCAGAGTTTCCAGCCCCCCACCCCCCCAAACAGAGAGCTTTGAAAGTGCTGATAGTCGTATACTTCTGAAACTCCATTTCAGAGTCACAGTGTAGAGTGAAAATGCCCTAATTGGTCTCCACTCATCACATGGCCCATCCCTGATTGGATACCACTAGTTACACCCTCTCATCGTCTGATTGGTCACCTGGTCATCCTACGCGGAAGTAAACAGTGTTCCAACATGGCAGATATGCAGGAGCCTTCCCTGTTGCTGGCCTGTATGCAGCTAAACAGCATGTCACACAGATGACTGCTTCATATTTGCACAAAAAGAAACCAAATTACTGAAGTGTGTCAATGCGTGTATTGCCCAATGTAGGCCAATAGTTTCAGTGCGTTTGGAAATACTTTTGCAAGCGACATGAACACGGCTATCTGGATGGAGATTCTTTTCGTTAGAAAATGTTGCAGTGTTTGGGAGTTTTTAATCCCACCGAAACCCCTAATTCTAGGTGGCCAAGCACACATCTGATCTCTAATACTTACTAAATGTCTTAACTAGTGTATGTCAATTAGATGCATCCTTAAGCATCTACATTAACATTTCAATTATAAATTTACCAAATGCTTTTATCCAAAGTGGATATAACTGACGTGTGTTGTTTTGAGAAAGTGGGGTCACAAAGTGGGGTCACAAAGTGGGGTCACAAAGTGGGGTCACAGTCCCTGGGGCAGTTGGGGCTCAGGAACCTTGGTGAAATCACTCTGCCTACCTGGGGTTTTGAACCAACAACCTTCCGATCAGAAGCCTAGCTGCGCAACCCAACATCCCCCCCCCTAATACCCCGCAGATGGCTGGCATGCCGGACATGTGAGAGCGGAGGTACCTTAGATGGCCCACGTTGTAGAAGCGGCTGGCCCCGTCTGTGGTGCGGACCACCTTAAGGCAGAAGGCCGGCTGCAGGTGCCTGACCTCCAGCAGGACCAGCGCCAGGTACTGGATGAAGAGCAGCGCGTCTACCAGCGAGGCAGCGTACTCCACGATCACGCGGTACTCCGGCTCCCGCGGCTCCCACACCCGCACGCTGTAGAACAGCCAGTAGGAGGCGACGAAGAGGAAGACCAGCACCATCAGCAGCGAGCGGAAGACGAAGAAGCGGGGCAGCGTGGCGCGCGGCGGCCGCAGGAACAGCGCCCAGGAGGAGATGAGCAGCACGAGCAGCTTGAAGGCCAGGGAGACGTAGAGGCCCTCGCAGGGCGTGCCGCAGGGGTGCAGCGTCTCCCAGAGAGCCTGCGGCAGCAGCAGGAAGGCCAGCGGCGTGAGCAGCGCGAAGAGGCCCAGACAGCCGCTCAGCACCGGGCCCACGAAGCGCCGGCACTCCAGCGGCGACGACTCGTCCAGCTCCTTGGAGACGCGCGTCAGGTCCTCGTTCGACACGCTGTGCTCCGAGGTGCCCGTCACCACGGTGGTCGTTTCCCCCCAGTTATCATCCTGCGGAGGGGGGGGGGGGCAGGGTGCCATACATGACTCTCAAAGCATTCTCCTTTACAATTCAGCTAAACCCTCACGCCTCCCAAAACGAAAAACCAGCTCAAGTCAGCATCTTTCCTATGCCAGTCCTCAAAGACCCCCCAGCAGTCCATATCTTTGCCCACCCCCCCCCCACCAGGCTGGCAGGAAGTGAAAATATGGACTGTCCTGGGGGGGGGTTCCTTGGTTGAGAAACTCTGGCTTAAACTGTTGGCCTTATAACTATCACTTCTCCAATTCATCCCTCATAGTCAGAGGTCAAGAACCAAGAAAGCCGATCGAGTCACGACCCACCACGTTCTGGGAAAACCAGAAGCTGCTTACAGCCTCAATATGAGCTCCACCGGCCCCCCGAGGCAAGTAAGTTATTATTTAACAAAACACCCTTCCTGTTAAATCAGTGCTAAGCTCCGTGTTTGACACCGAGGGGCGCCGTTGCTCACTCTGTCGTCCCCTCTGGTGGACTCGTTGTCGAGGAGGGGCTCTCCCGGGGCCTGGATCGTGACGGATTTGTCCCCACGGCTACTGCCGCCATCTCGGCTCTTCGAGCGGTGCCGCTCCCGTCGGTCCCTGGAGGACGGAGGCGAGGTTAGACACCGACACCAGCACCAACAACCACAACCCAACCGTGAGGCTGCCTTTGGTGACAACTTGGCCACAAAATGGTGGCGTCACCCAGACTGCATAAATGTACGCAATGAGAAGAACGCTACATGACCGGAGACCTTGTATTAATGTTTGATCTTGAGTGTCTGAAGATAGATGTATGACCAAGACCAAGACGTCCCCTAAAGAGAGACACCAAATGTCTTGACCAATTACATAGGTCAAGGCTGCAGTACACGGTCCACCACAGGTCTGACTTTGGAGGAATCGGAAACCATGCTACAATGTCATCATATACTGGTAGACCACCACCATCATCATCATCATCGTCGTCGTCATCATCACCTGTGCTTCCTGGAGCTGCGAGAGTGGGATGACTTATAGGAGTAACCAGAGTACTGAGACTCGGTGTCCATGTCTCTGTCCTTGTGGGCCGCTGGGCGGGGTTTGCGAGCCCCTCCTCCCCCGGTCCCTCGTTCTCCGGCGCCGCCCTGCTGGCTCTTGCGCTGAGAGATGGACTTGGAGGAGAGGGTCAAAGGGAGCTTCAGCAGGTCAACTTTGCTCCTGAGGGAATCTATCTTGGAGGCCGGAGGACAGAGGGCGGAGAAGGCAGGAGCACCGAGGAGGAGGAGGAAGAGAGGGACGATGTCCAATGAAGGGCCCTGGAAGAGCAGAGAGGAGCATCAATGTGTCGGTTTCCAGGGCTCTGAAAGGAGGAATGTCTCCACATACCAGGGTTTCACAAAACAGACAATATCGTATCGTTTTATCAGCAACAACGTCTAATGTTCCATAACAGCCTTTACAGAAAATAAATTATCAATTCACCGTTATAAAATATTTCAAAATGCGCAATTGCATCCAACTTTCACCTCATGACGGGCATGATACAATGGTGATAGTATTTAGTTTCTGCAATTTCACACAAACATCTCATTCCCCCTGTCCCTCTCACATTCCCGCCAGTCTCCCACAATCTCCCGGGTAACCGGGCCTCCTTGCTGCCATGGCAATGAAAGAGGGTGTGAGGGTGGAGGGGCTTGTGGTTGAGAGTTCCCATAGCGACCTGACCTTCTGCCATCCTCTCCCTTCTCTTTGTGTCACAGAACTCAGCAGAACTCTTTGTGTGGGGGGAAAAAAAATCTCCACGAAAACCAGGAGGCTTCTCTGCTGGTGAGCATGCCTGTGTGTGTGTGTGTGTGTGTGTGTGTGTCTGTTTGTGTGTGTGTGCGCCCATGTCCCTGGCCTCAAATGCCAACCACCACACGCATCAATTTGCCACATCTGATTGGTTGGGCCAAACAGTGGTGAGTAAGATGAGTGGTGTTTTGCCCTGTATAGACTGTGATGGCCTTCAATTACGAGACTGATGACAAACACATCACACTGAACCATTTGTTCCAATCCCTAAACAAACAAATTCAATAAAAAAAAAATGCAACCTTCTATTTACAGGACAGCTTTTCAGCCGTTCCAAGTGCATTCAGCCGCGGCCATGGGGCAGAAAGCAAGCAAACAGGAAGAATCGTCGATGTAAACAGCAAAGGTGCATCAGCTAAGTGTGAAAGTGAGTGAACTCCTGTGTGAAGGTAGCCTTGGTTTGGGCTTGGATTTAGGTGTAAACCACCAGACGTCAGATACAGTGCAGACTCACAATGCCATGTCGACTGCATTTCTAGTGTACAGCTTAAATTTTAAATGGAATAGGCAATTGTGTAATGGTGCAATAAGGGAGTACAGACTTATATAAACCGTACACTGTTTAAAGGACTGTAGTACTACAATGCAAAAAGGGATGTACAAATAAAATACACAATTATAACTGGAGTAAATACTGATGTTTATACCATACTCAACTCAGAGTGTGGCAGTGGGGTGTGGAGGATCTGGCTAGGTGGGGTAGGTGTGGGTTGTGCATAGGATAGTGTTACCCCTACGTGCCCTAGAGCCCATATTTCCGCCTTAAATTCAGCTTCCATGGTAGCACACAAAGGCTTACGGTAAGCCTACGATAACGTTCAATTCTGCCTCAAAACACCCTGGTCACCGCATAAGCGGAACGAAGCCTCGCTTCACAATTTGAAAGAAACATACAGCAAAAGACTAGAAAATAAACCACAAGCCGACAGATCTGGCACCGTGAACTAGGTACTAAAACCCACACGGGCACAAAGGAGTCTCTGCGGTGTCACTTTTACATCGTTAAAAGTAAGGGAAAGTACGGGGAGGTCCTAATCTGCCGCCAGAAACGGCACACTTCTCTAAATCCAGTGCAATAGCTGAACCTGAATTGGGGATTACCAACGAGACACTAACAGATACACCCATTATGGATTTCCCTCATTATCCACACAACATAGCACTATCCTCATAATTCATAAGTCTTGCTCAGCAACAGTGCAGGCACAATTTCACACCCACCAAAGTAGGAAGGCCTGTGAGAAAAGAAGATGTGTTACTTTTACAGAAACACCAAACCATGGCCAAGAACAAAAACCACTGCAGGTTTCCAGTCAAGGTGACATTTCCTCTGAAATCGTGGTTCAAAAAACAAGCAACTTGAAATTATTCAATAAAAACATGAGAGCTATGGATGCCTTTGCTACATTCTGACCTACAGTTGAAAAGTCATTAAATGAGATCAGCTTTCCCATGTGTCAGAGTACCAGGTGCTGATGGCTGTGGAAATCACACTATTCTTTGGACGCGCCCAGAGTTGACTTGAGCGCCTGTAACAACATTAAAGACCAAACATTCCAGGCCAGGACACACAGACACAGACAGGCTCTCCATCAAACCACCTGCCCTTCACTTCTGCCCCAACAAACAAGCCTCTGACCCCATCTGTTTTGGGGAAGAAAGCAGGTGTGCATGTGGTGATCCGGTAATGGGGCCTGGCACAGACTTTCAGCCAGCATCCATGAGACTCCCGAGGCAGGATCATTTAAAGTGTGGCTGTGTTGATTTAAAAACAGACATGGTAATAAGTCACCAAAATCCCTATTAGAGAAATCCCAAAAATCACAAGCCAATACTACCAGGCCTGGGTAATGACCACGGGCTAGTGGTTTCCCCTGGCCCTGCCCCCGCGACACCGACGCCCACCCGCCTCCGCCGGACGAGCCCGGGGCTTCGCGGCCTTTTGTTTATCTTGGCGACCCGACCAGCTGAGACAATAGGCAGAGCCTCGCGCCAAACGGACCCGTGCTAGTCGGCGCGTGCTGCACGGCTCGCGGCCGCGCGCTCGGAGCGGAAACGCTCGGCTCGGTTCGGCTCGGCACGGCCCGGTCCGACTCGGAAATACGCCGCACACTCTCCCGGATACTTTGGAATAAGCGCCAGCAGCAATCAAGCGCAGATGGGCAGCTTCTGTTATATGCACAATATTTGTAACAAGCGGACAGACCTTTGTTGCATAAAATGTGCATGATTTTTAAAACAAATGTTCTACAAACCTTTCATAGCGCGCCTCTTTTATGCGATTCCCAGGAATTATGAGCTGTGAAATTACCCGACCCAAACAAACAAAAAGACTCAATCATAACGACTCAATCTAGCCATAACGGCGTTCCTGACGCGCAGTTGGCACGCAGAAATCTCTCTGCATGTGTGATATTTTGATCATATTCCAAAAACCCCACTGAAAAACAAGAATTAACATTCCTCTCCTTGCCAAAGAAAAAAATTAGATATTTTAATCGGGCTTCGATACCGGAGCACAACAGTACGGACCCGATTAATAATTTAATGACCGCAAGAAGCCCTTACAAAAGGCAGCAGAGAAAGGAAGATTACTCGGCTGTTATGAGAACACGCAAAGGATTTAAATCGCAAGGCGATCAAAAATTAATCAATGGTGTATCATGATGGTAGGTTGCTGCATTAAGCGCTCGGCATTTGGTGCCAGTTTATTTCCAGCCCGAGGAGCTGCAGACAATGGAAGGGGGGACTCACCGGCCACTCTCACGTACAGACGCCGCAGATATCTCCCCAGCAATCTTCTGCTATCCCGCTGCGAATCGGTGTTTTTAGGGGGATTTACATTAAAATATTTCAATGCAGAACACGGACATAACACGAGCCCCCTCGTAAGGTAAGCGGTGCTGGGAGCTGGCCGCAAACGTATCCGATCCCCTTTCTCATGTGCCAGCTTCCATGTAACCAGGTGCTGATGCGCTTTGCTTGGCTAAATCACCGTAGAGTCGTCTCTTTTGCCCGAAAACGATTGATCTTTACACCATACAAAACGCATAATTCCAAAATAAAAGGTAAAACAAGGGCTAGAATTTTAAAAAGTTAACTATAAACGCCGAAGAGGGCATTCAAACGAGACTTACTGCTTGCCAACTCCACAGTTTACCAGTTAAAGCAATCGGACAGGACAATCCGCACTGCTTTTTAGGGAAAAAGATCAATCCATCAAATGCAAATTAGCGCCGCTTTCCGACTGCTGCAGCGCATCTTTAACATTTATTGCTCTTTTTTTCCTTCTAAATGGATATTTTTCCTACATACAACGGCGAACTCCTCTTCCCTCTTTCCACCCATTCAATCCTTCCTACTTTCCTTTTCTCTCAAACTGCACCCCCATCCTTCGGCGCCCCGCCCTCATTTCTTCATCCCTCTTTCCGTTCACTTTCACTAATCCTTCCGCCGTGTACCTTTATCTTAAGGAAAATGTTTGCACATGTTTTGTTTGTATATTTCGCATATTAACCGATTCGGTTATATTTAAAAGCTCCAGACGGATCGGCTAACCAGGTTGAAATATTTCCCGAAATGCTGCGCGGGTTAAATGGGAATATTCAGTACTTGCAAGGCGGATTCCTTTACACGAAATAGTGATGACAGAGAAGGGGTCCTATTTACATACATGTGCAAATACCAAACACAATAATCTGTGCCACTTCTTGCTTGATGCATATTTTAGTACTGCTTTTATAAGATTCAATATCCCAGTACTTCCATATTAATTATGGATGCCACTGTACAGTAAATGTACAGGAACTGTTTCAAAAGGTTACAAATAATGAGCAAATGTACAGAAATAAGTACTGTACTAAATTCTATGTGAGATTTTAGTGGAAAATTCCATGTTTCTAATGGACTAGAACTAATGTCCACTGCTGGTAATTTTAATGTGCAATTTTGACATTTAATGTGACAAAATAGTTCCAGGTAAAAGGCAAAAACTCAAAAAATTGGAAACGAAACCATGTTTATTTAATTATAAAGAAACCCACTGTCTGCTCCTCTCCTTGAAAGACAGTCAGGGTCAGCAATTCAAAGACACTAAAGATCTTTGTCATCATATTTCAACACAAATAAAAGAAACAATTAGAGCAGTTAACATTTTCATTCTATCTTTTCCCTATACTTGCAATAAAGGAATTAAGTTTTTGTTCTCATTTGTAACCTGTGGCAATTAATGCTCCACTTTCATGAGGGGGAGAAACTAAGCAGTGTAGTACAGACATAAAAATCTATTGCACTGACACACACACACACACACACAAACACACACACACACCCGATCAAGCTTTAGTGCTTAGCGCAAGTAAACATGTCATTCTTGATAAAAAATATAAACACCTGTACGATAAAGACCACGACCCAAGTTGCATCCTGCCAAAACAAAAATAAATTAATTTTAAAAAGCCCAATCTGCAGAAGTTTGGTAGCAGTCTTCATCTATGGCCGTATCTATACCTCTCCTCTCCCTCACACATCTACATCCTCATCAGTCCATTCATTCATGGTCCTGTCCAGTCGCCCATCCATCCATCCAGACCCGGGTTGGTCCAGGTGCTCCTATAACTGGCTCAATAGGCAGTGCTGGAGGGTTCCCTGGAGCTGCTGAAGAGCACGTCCGCCTTGGCGTTGATGAAGTACGTCACCAGGAGCGACACCAGCAGGACACCCACCCCCACACCAAGGGTAAGCATCTGGAGGGGGGGGGTGGGGGTTAGGGACAGATGCAGCGTGATGATAGATCATGAAGAAGCCAAGCTGACATAATCACTGCAGAATTTACTCTAATGTTCAGATTCGCACTTGGTAGTTAAAAGACTGAAAGTAACACTGATGCTACCATTGTTAGCACAATATGACTGGAAGTGTTTTCAAGAGACTACAAATATTTTCATATACAAGATAACGGGGAAATACTGGGCGAATGTATGGAAAAAAATGTGCTGAAAGTACAGGAGCAGAAGCGGAGATGAAAATGTCGAGAATCTGATCGAATGTTCCCAGGCTTCTCACAGCTTTTGTCAGCTACCAAGTACCACAATTTGTACTCTCTTCATTTAAAGGCTATTTCACCACCTTCGATTTAATACATGTAAACTGAACGGCAGTTATGTGAAAGAACAGGCCAGGTTTACCTCCAGATCACGACTGGCGACCAGGAAGATCCGCGCGTTGATGCGCTTCCACCGCGACTCCGCCCACGTGGAGTAATCTTTGGAGCCGTAGTCCTGCAGCTCGAAGGCTGGGGAAACTGCCCTGGATAGGCGTACGGGGGCCCGAATGCAGTAACCCTCCCCCTGTGTGCTGTTAGGGGCCACGGGGCCCTGGACCCAGAGATAGCTGTACAGCTAAAGGGTCAAGAAAGGAGAGAGAGAGAGAGAGAGAGAGAGAGAGAGATTCTCACATCACGGACTCTGAAGACGACCGACGGGGAGACGGAGAGCAGAGCACAGGACAGACTCACGTCCTTGCTTTCTCCGGGCAGGTTCTCTGGGTTCTGGCACTGACTCTGGCTCAGGTTGGTGACAGTTCCGGTAAAGTTTGCAAGTATGTACTGGATGATCCGCGTCGACGTCTTAATAGGGTCACTCTTATCATGCACACCGATGTAGTACTGCAGGGGGCGGGGCCCTGTTGGAAGGGGAGGAGCCTCACATGTCAATCAAGGAAGCAGTGCAGATCAGCAGTAGCCCATAATGCTCTCTGACAGCGCACGCAGAACACACTCGCTCCGGGATGGTGGTTCGGCCATTGATGGCATTCGCTGTTACAGAGCTGGACGTGCATAAAGATTAAATGTTTGCTTTTCTCACCCACCCAGTTTTTGAACGACGTCGGGGGCGACCAGCGCTCGGAACCAGCTGTTGTTGGGCTGAACCAGGAAACCATAGAGCATCTGGGTGACCTGGGAGGGGTGACAGGGAGCGAATGACCCGGCTGGTAAAGGGGGAATAGACGCAATAGCCAAAGCAACCTTACAAAACATCCCAGAGCGATAGAGCGGTCATTAAGCAGGGCCTCACCATCTTGGGGTCCGCGCTGATGTTGGGCAGGTTAGCCTTTTCGCCTCCCGCCTGTATGTAGAGGGATCGTGCGACCAGTGTGGCCACTTCCGCCACATCCTGACACAGGAAGGGACACAGTCACCTCCGGCAGCGCACAGCCAAACACAACACCGTGACGCCTTTCCGCGAATCCCTGCTGGGTTTACGGAGAGCGAGCAGGAATGGAGGTCGCTGTGTACCTTGGCAGTGTTGGTGACAAACTCCAACTGCTCCTCCGGACTCAGGTTGGGGGGGTAGGTCACGTTCAGGTATTCGGCGTTGTCATAGAGACTCTCGTAGTACCTGGAGGGGAACGTGGGCAGGAACCCATAACAAGTATTTTATACATTTCATCTGGCATTTCATCTTCCTAATCCTAGCCTTCTGCTGATGACCTTGTCCTCTCATCCTGTACCACGGGCATAAATTACAGGGGGAATGGGGGGTTTTTAACCCCCCCCCCAAATAAGAACCAGCCAGAACCGCCCCCCAAATAACCATATACGTCATGATGAATGGGTGGGGCCCTCAACCCCCCCAAAGTTCAATCCAAAGTTATGCCCCTGACCTCTACCTGTTGTTGAATGCAGACTGGTGGTCGGCCAGCACCACCCCCGGAATGACCCCTTCCCGCAGGAAGCGCTGGAAGGAGGAGGGCGGGAGGGGCTGAGTGACGCCCGGCTCATCCAATGAGAATCTGAGCCCGGCGCCTGCATGTTGCATGTTGCTGACGAGCTTCTTGACCTGGAAAGCAAAAGCTTCAATGAGCACCAAGACAGAACAGAGTTGTGAAATAGGTCTGTCCCCACCTCAAACCCCTCACACAGCTTCTGCACAATTCCTTCACACCCCACTAGGGGGCGCAGCCTACAGTTCAAATACCTCTAATGTACTGAAAGAAACAAAGAGCAATTCACTCCATCCTCTCCTCTCACATCAACGCTCTGGTCCCCTCACCTCACTTTCAATAGAGCTGTTCTTCCGAGACACAGGGTCAGAGTGCAGCCACAGCTTTGAGTCCCTTCGGAGTGCCACCTAGTGCATAGAACAAGTACTACATTATACAAGATATGTATTCGCGCATCATGATGCAAACAGTCTTTTACACAGTCAGGGAGACTGCATTTGGTTTGCTAAAGGTCATAAATTTCTGGGTGAAGGAGGTGCGTGCATTTACCTGTCCAATCTCAATCAAGGAGTGGATGTTGTCCAGATCAATAACGAATTTTCCATTCTTCATGTCATACACCATGCGGGAGCTTCCAATGTAGTCAAAGGCCTCCTAAGCATGGGGGCATCAGAGCAGAACTCTGTCAAAGAGCTGCCCATCCGCAGGAGGACAAAGAGAACACGGGGGCGACACACGGGGGCGACACACGGGGGCGACACACGGGGGCGACACACGGGGGCGACACACGGGGGCGACACACGGGGGCGACACACGGGGGCGACGCACTGACCCCCTGGAAGAAGACGAAGAGGATGTTGTTTGGGGTCGGTGCCGTTTCTGTGACGGCGCGCAGGGCCTGGACCGTCGCTAGCAGGGTGACGAAGCCCGCCACGCCACTCTCTGCCCCCGGAGCCTCATCCCAGAAGAAAGACCTGCTGTCCAGCTGAAAGACGAGCGGCGAGAGACTCAGGATCCACATGACATGCGCGGTCAGCGGCGTGGCACGTGCTCCTCAAGCGAGGCGGAGATGCAGCTCCAAGAAACCAGAAACAACTGAACACGTACATATAATGCAGGGAGGAGGCCTCATCTGACCCGGACACAATAATCCAGGTCAGTTTACACCACACTATGATTGGCCATGATGGTCCGTGACCTGCTGATAATTTCCTCAGGGATCAATAAAATATTCTGAATCTGATGACAGCAGCAGTGCAGCTAAAGCGTCAATCCCCACTGCATCACTCACCCGAGTGGCGGCGACGACCAGTTTCTCCCCGTTCAAGTGACCTTTGGCCGTGTTGTTCAGCGGCCGAATGGACGCCCATACATTGTAGTCCGTCAGGGCGTCGCATACAATTTCTACAGCAGACAGACAGAAGAAGGTTCTGATCTGTGCGGAATGACGGTCAAAGCCCAGACACGTAAGACGCTATTTACAAAAATGTAAATGTGTAGTACAGCTGCCAACAAGTTCACTGCAAGTGCTGCTGGTTGGCCTTCCAGTGAGAGGATGACAGTGGGGAGGACCCCGGCCGCACTGCGATGCCGTCTCGGGGAGGACCCCGGCCGCACACACGTCACCATGTACCTGGGCTGATGCTGAACCTGGACTGGATGTCAGTGCGTCTCATGCAAGTCACTGTGTCCTTGACGGCGTGCATGTGGGAGAAGAGCTGCATGGCGCACAGCGGGTACTGGGGGGCGCTGTTGTTCACGCCGACGTTGTGATCCTGGTAGCACTGCAGGGGGAAGAACAGATATGCAGCAATGCATCAACGCCATCAACGC